GTAAATACATCTCACTGGGTCTGGAGTTGATAAACTAGTCCTGAAATAGTGAGAGATTATTCTACATGTATCTCCATTAGACGGGTACAACACCTTTTTATCGTAAGAAAGGAAGGAATTTCTTCTATAAGCCAGTTCACGGTTGCAGTCTGAGCATGAGCAGATAAAGGTCATTGCAGAACAAATTTTGAAATTAACGGAGACGAAATACTGGATTCGTGCTCATGAAAGTTATGTAACATTATTCATTCATGCACATTCAGTGCACTCCATGATGCACAGGTGGAAGTATTCTTTGAAAAGGGGAAACAAAGGCTATTTCTATAGCACCTCCATCGCTGTAGGAGTGATTATTTCAAAATGTACAAAGTGGGACCTCTTCATGGTTTTAAGATCTGTGGATATTCGGGGTCATTGCAGTAATGTGCTAACCGTGAACTGGTCTATTTAGAGCATCTGAGCTCCGTTATTCAATCTTCTAACCAACAGCTTGATGCCAACTCTGTGGCCCGAATTCTCAAAGGAGGTTTGTCGACAAACCTAGGTTTATGTGCATCATATGACGCGTTGTGATGCGTTTTTACAAACCTAGGTCTGTAAATACAAACCTAGGTTTGTCAAAAACGTGTCAAAAACGCGTCATATGAAGTACATAAACCTAGGTTTGTCGAAAAACCTCCTTTGTGAATTCGGGCCATTGGGTGTGTAAGGTTGGGGCTGGGCTGGAAACCCAAGTTTTATGCAAAAGAAATGATTAAATATGCAATGCATTATTAATGGTTGACAGTACTACATGATGCATACAGTATCTAATGGGGTACTCGAGGGAGGGGGGGGGGGGGGGGGTGAATTCTGCAGGGACAGTTTGTAATATCTCAATATTCATTTAAAAAATGCAATAAAAGTGAAACTCAATTCTTCATGCTCTTTTGAAATTGTATTCAAGCCTATTCATGTATTTGCCACTATACTTCAAGTGGCTTTTTTCTATGCAGTGTTTGTAACTTGTTCGACATCTATTTACATGTTGTTATTTTGTAAATGGAAAAAGAAATGCCAAAGTGTTCTTTCATTATGCTGTTCAGAGTTCTAATGTTCACCTTGTTACAAAATTGAAAGTAAGTGAGTAATTTTCAGAAAAATATGTATGCTATTCATGTGTTTTGTGCTGCTTACACTTAAAAACAAGATTACGGGAACGAATAAAGGGTATTGATCAGTGCATAGATGAAAACTAAAAATTTCTATGAAATTATAAAAGAAAAAAAGAGAGAAAGATTGTTGTGAACTGTAGAGATGATTTATACAGAAATTTATGCTGTGAACAACCAATAAAACAAGATATAAAAACCATGTTTGCGTTTGCATGTTGATTTCTTTGATGTATGCTCATGTACTAGTATATGAAGTGGTATGGGAACATAACAAGTACTGTATATGTAAAGCCTGCTAGACTATAAATATTGTAGGTCTCTTGAACCCTTACAAAAGCTGTCAGAAGTCTTGTGAAAACTAGCCTTGTGTCCCATTGGTCTTGTGGCCCATATGATAAAGTTTGGGGTCATGAGACCAGCATCGTCGGTCTTGTAGGCTGTAGCCATGTGTTGTGTCTGTGATGTAGTATAGATGGTATGGATGTGTGAATGTATAATGTGTGTAAATTATCTGTGTGATACAACTACTGCTACAGGTTTTATTTCATCACAGATATAGGGGTAGGCTTAGGCTTAGCAATTGTCCAGGGTTGAAGTTGTAAATATCTGATATTATTTTTAAAAATAGACTTGTTATGTGCAGTTACAAGCACTTTTTTTCTTTTAACTCCATTTTTTGTTCATTTTTTAAAGGCAGTTTAACTGAATCGAGTGTGAATGGGGTTCAACACAAAATTTTAGTACAAAATATTATTTTCAAAGAACTAAATTCCTCTCGTGGCACACTGGTCAAGAAACTCTGATTTATACTATTATGAATTTTGAGGGAATGTTTTTTTTTAAAGGTAGTTTAATTGAGTAGAGTGTGAATGATTCTAAACGCGACAACTTTAAGTGTACCAAACACCAAAACATGTTTTGCTTTTGATGTAAGGGTAATTCCATTTGGCTATACTATATTCAAAATAAGAGCTTTAAAGATATTACTTCTACAAAGAAATATTACATTTTAAATACTTTTTCAGTGAACAGTAAAACGTCTTATTGAGAAATGACTTGTAATGCATGTGTATGCATAGAATAGGGTGTATATGGAACCCAAGCCTCGAGTGTAAATGTGGTCATGTGGGTTCTGTGCAAGCCCTATTCTCCGAGTTTGGTGTTATTCTGTATCTTAATTCTCCATACTCCTCAACACGTTTACTTATAGAATGCCAGGGGGGTGTTTCACAAAGATCCCAAGTTGAACTTGTCTCTAAGTTGGACTTAACAATTATGGAAAGCCATTAACATCCTTGAAAATATTTTGTAGAAGTTATTTTAAAAGGCATAAAATGTTGATTCAAAACTTTCATATTTTTTATTATCATGGGAGATTTCATGCTCTTGATGTGGAATTGATGAAAAGTCTAAAATACTTGAATTTTTGCTTTTTAATATATTTCATTATAAGGCTACAAATGGCTCTCCATAATATTTAAGTTCAACTTAGAGTTAAGTTCGACAATACAATCTTTGTGAAACACCCCCCAGGTGATTTTTTTTTTTTAGGCCGAGTTTGTTCATTCTAGCTATACACGATTATCTTTACAGGTGATTGGTACACTTTAAGTTGACACAAAAATGGAGAACAAGACTTAATTAACAACTTTAGTTATATGGACGGATCTTTATTGCATATACATGTCAAATCATACCGATGTTACACAGAACAGGTATTATTTACGCACAATATTCCACTGCAATCTTGCACAGCATAATATACAAATTACATATCAAATGATTTATTATAATATACTATCATTATAAATGGTAATCTCATAGTAAAAAAATGACTTAAATAGTAAATATAGGGTTCGATAGTAAAAGAGAAAAGAAAAAAGGGTTGAATATACAACTGATTCTAAAGATGCGATTCTCAATCAATTTCCTTACTGAAAGACATGTAAATAGAGAAATCATACATGTAGTTGGTGTAGTAAAAAACATAATTTATGCACATATAAATGTACAGTATGTAATCTATATACTCTGTACAACTCAATCTATAAAGTATTATAACCTCAACATAATTTTATAATATCAGAATTTAATACTATGTGGTAATTTTGATTTACACACATTTTTGATGAAATTCTAATTAAGAATTTATTTCTTTTGTGGAAACTCTGAATTGAAAATTTTCAAACCCTGTTTTACCCAGATGTAATTGATATCTAAATATTCCAAGAAATTACATACATATAGATATATGCCTAATTTTTAATGGCACTAAATGACACTAGTAATTTGCATAAAATTAGCATATAATTGTATATTATTTGCACTAAATTTGCATATATTTCATATATAATTTGCATATTTCTTCAAAATACTAAAGTGGTGAGTTAAGACTATATAAACTATTCAGATCAATACGTTATGTAATTTTAATTAGCCTTTGTGGGTCTCATATCAATTTGAGATTTTCATCCGGTATGTGATAGTACACTAGCTTGCAAAACAATCCAAATCCATGTATACCAGTTTAATTTATGGGTACCAGGGTACTCGATCAATCACACAATAAAAAAGTTGGCTGTCAGACAATCCTAACCTGCAAATGCATAGAAATTTCTATTGTAAACATTTCTCAAAAGGCAGCTTTTTCGCACACGCACACAAATGTCCAGTAAATGTTGAGAATAGACATATATTGACATTAGGTCTAGCAAATGATCACATGTAAAATACAAACAATTTATAGAAAAATTCAACTTTTCATTCATTCATTCATATGATCATTCATGAAGTATGCATACCGGTATATGCTACTGCATCATTTCACACGATTGCACAATTTAAAGACAGTTACGTAACAGGACAACTTCTAAATGCAGCTAAATGCAGCTAATACACAGTCCAAAATACTGTTAAGCATATAGAACTAGCTTGAATTGCATAGATCAAGTGCATTTACATAAAACATGGGTGCAAAAAAGTATTGCTATAAAGAAATTATTCATTGTACATTCTAGTACAAGTAATTCAAGGCAGAAATAGAGAGGCACGTAACAAGTATGTTATATAGCACAGTATATCATTGGAAGAGTATATTACAGAAATTAAAAAATATATATACACTTAGCAACTAAATTATTCATACCCTTACCAAGTTTTTTATTTTGTAAGTATGTGAACAAATTGATTTGTACCTATCAACATTTCTTGAAAATGTGACATATTAAAGGTAAAGACCAGTTTTGGAAACGCCCCCCTCTCAAAAAAGGAAATGGAAGCTCTTATTACCAATCATGTGAAAGAATGTTTTGACTAATGCATGATGATAATAATTTTGCCGGGAAACCGCCTACTAATTGATATATTTGGTAAATTAGATTATCTATTGGGACCAAATAGATAATACGCACATGTCGCGCACATGTCGCGCACATGTCCGTAGTCCCATAAACATCTTTCTGTGTACAGTGCTTGTAACTTTATGAAGACTGGGCTAAATTTCTTATCATTTTGATGATTCCAGAACCTTGCAGTACACACCAATACTAATATGCTAGATGGTCAACCTTTTCTGATTGCTTCCACAACATTTCTTTCACAATGCAATCGCATGACTAGAACTGGTCTTTATCTTTAAAGCTTCCATCTACAAGCATTCAAGAAAGGCCCTAATCCAACCGGTCCACATTCTTGAGATACGTAGAACACAAAAAACATCAAATTCACAAGAGATATGAATAATTTAGTTGTTAACTGTATACTTTTGATCACTGTTTGACAGTTAAAAAACTAAGGCTCATGTTCTACTAAAATTTACACCAGACGCTGGGTTTAAGCTTCTTTTTTCTTCCAAAATAAGGTTTAACAAAGGAAGCTAATCTGAGGTCTAAGTTTTCCTTTAGTGTCAGGTCTTACTTAGTGTCAGGTCTTACTGAATTAGCAGAATACAAACCCAAGAGTTTATCAAAAAATTCCCACAATTGTTTTTGTGTACCTTTACACAAACAATTGTCTTGGTGTTAAAACTTTAACATAAACTATTTTTATGGTGTTGATAACTTTACACAATCAATTGTTTTGGTGTTTTGGTGTTAACACCTTTACACAAACAATTTGTTGGGGTTAACACAAACAATTGTTTTGGTGTTTATACCTTTACACAAACAATTGTTTTGGTGTTTATACCTTTACACAAACAATTGTTTTGGTGTTAACTCCTTTACACAAACAATTGTCTTGATTTTAACAGCTTTACAAAAAGAGTCATTTTGGTGCTAACACCATTACCTAAACATTGGTTTGGCGCTAACACCTTATCACAAACAATTGTTTTGGTGTTAACACCTTTACACAAATAATTGTTTGGTGTTAACACCTTTACCTATACTGTTCTAGTGTTCTCTCATTGTTGTCCACTTTGTTGAACGGGTTGCACGGCGGGACCAAAGTGACCATCTTGGACATCCTTGACGTCCTCTTGAACGGTGACTGGTTGGGGTCGTATCTATCAATCCTGGAAAACAAACAAAAAATAAGAAAAATAAAAATATTGATGATACATTCTTTTGTACATCAGGGACCTGTCTTATAAAGAGTTGCAGTTGATCCACATCAATTGCAAGTCCTCTTTAATTATCGATAGCGAGTTTGCAGTCTCCTATCTCGTATGTACTTAGTTGTGATTGATATAAATCGCGAATAGGTAGAGATCAATCGCAACTCTTTATAAGACAGGGCCCAGATTTTCCAGCAGATGGACTGCTTTACAAAGCTTTTGTCACATATACGATTTGTATGCAAAACATAAAACTGAAAATAGTTTGGCATGGTATGGATTCCAACAAATAAAGGTAAATAAAGAGTTGAACAGAGGGGAAATGACAAAATTACAGCTGGCACCACATGTCTATTTCTCAGTATAGCAAAAAACATACAAAACTGTGCCATCAAAACTAAAGAGGGATTCAACTCATATAAACATCAAAGACTCTGAATTCCAATGTAGAATGGAACTCATGATAATCTATTTTTTCATATAATTAAATATGTCTTTTGTTGGGGGGGAGGAGGGGGGAGGGGTGCATTTTAAAATTTCAATCAAATCCTTATTTTCCTGTTGTTGTTGTTTGTTGTTTGTTGTTGTTGTTTTTTTTTTGGGGGGGGGCGTTATTCTATAATTATGAATAAAAAAGACTCATATGGTAATTGTTTGGATTCGTCTTTAAAAATGTAAGGGTGAAAAGTAAGAATAACTGGTGACAACAAAGCTTTGCGCTAGTCCTGACCGTGCATGAGCCCGATAATGAACTTGACAAGTCTCATTCATTATAACAATAATAGCTAGTTCTTATATAGCGCTTTTCAGAACCGAAGGCCCTCTCAAAACTCTTTAAATGTAACCTGCGTACAGTGTATATTCACTAATCACTCGCAAACATGAATTATTTGTATATTTATTACTCAATGAGCTTACCTGTGTACTCTAGCTGTAGTCTGTGGTGGTGGGACGGGTACATTCACATTAGCTGGTTTCTCTGACTTCCAATGGGTACAGCCAGTATAGCCAGGAATGTTAGGTCGACTGAATCGTTGAGTGAAGAAAAGAAGGAAAAAGGGTTAGTTTGTCTACAGAAATAGCTCAGATATCTTTTTATTATTATCAAAATAACATAAATACATTCAATAACAAAAACGGTCTTACAACTACAAATTGCAAAAAAAAATGTGTTTTTAAGGTCTTTCTGAAGGTAATTTGGAGACTGATTCTAAGTGGTAGATCATTCTTGGAAATTTTCTGTGCATATGTTTATTTTTCCTTATTTTGTATGTAGGCAGTATGGTAATCAATTACACTTTTGCATCAGTAATCAAAAACATGAATTTCATGCAGCTAACATGGTTTGAACCAAACATACATGTATGTATTTAAACGTATCAAATATTTGTGGGGAAAAAAAAGTTGATTTATTCTTCAAACTTTAAACAGGTTCATCAAATATAAAGTGGGACTTGTGGAACAATATTTGTTTTTAGGATGCATATTGAAGAAAAAAAAGCATTATGATTAGAAAATCATGTCGCAATATTGTATTCAAATCAAATAAACTTGAGACAAAGCTTGTTAGTATAATTTGGTCACTCTTCAGGGTTTAACAACATCTTTCCTATTCTTGTCAGTTTGCAATCAAGGCAATGATCACTTCAAGCCTGCCATATCATAGAAGGGTTTGTTTATTTCTCATCTGGATATAAGGTTGTTTCAGGAGTCTTATCCGGGCGACTTTCAAATAGATCTTGGGGTGTTTCACAAAGATCCTAAGTAGAACTTAACTCTAAGTTGGACTTGAAAACTATGGAGAGCCATAAAATTAAATATATTGAAAAGCAGAAATTGAAGTATTTTAGACTTTTTATAAATTCCAATAAAATATGAATGATTTGAATCAACATTTTATGCCTATTAAAATAACTTTTACAAAATTTTTTCAAGATGCTAACGGCTTTCCATAACTGTTAAGTCCAACTTAGATATAAGTTCAACTTAGGATCTTTGTGAAACAGGGTCCTGGAACTCACTTTGCAGTGTCTGTGTACCACGGTAGACTGGTCCTCTGGACGGCGGAAGGAAAGAAGTATTGCTGAGGATGGTCTCTCTCACCGATACCTCCAACGAAACCGGTGTAGTTGGGAATCTGGTAGTTCTTGCGATGGGGGCTGCAGCTGTTGTTAGGAAAAGGGAGGAAAATAGAATAAAACAGTTTCAAAATACAGTCAAACCTGTCTATTAAGGCGACCACCCAAGGGAAACACAAAAAGTGGTCTGTGTAGACACGTGGTCTTTATAGACAGGTTCCTTTAATACATGTTTCAATGAGAAACCATTTTCAAGGGAAACAAAAAATGTGGTCTAGCTTGTAGACAGGTGGTCTTTGTAAACAGGTGGTCACTAAAGCAGCTTTGACTGCATCATGCATGTAGCTATCGCTTGTGGAAGTATATAGTTTTTAAGGACTCTGGCTCTTCATTGCCCCCTATCTTCGCCTCAGTGATCTTGAGGCAGCAGACAGCAAGAAATTGTGTGAATAAATCAACACTCGGCTTGAGAAAGTCCACAGGAGTTGGACAAAAGCTTGCCTTCTGGATATTAATGTTGGCAGAATTTTAAGCTACATGTTATGATTTACCCCAACCGATGAAAGTTTTCTGTATCATTCTTTAATGTTATTACATCTATTCGGCATGTCATAATTAAAGATAACAAATATATTCATAATCATTCCTTCGTCAATTATTACTAGTTTATGTACTTCAATGTGGTAAGAAAGATATCAGAGTGAATTGTGATGAGAATCGAAGGGTATAATGAAATAACTTTTCTCTTCCCCTGGAATAATGCAGACCATTCATATTTCTTTCATTCATGATGGTTGAAAGCAAAAGGAAATTAGGGTCTCCATCGTTACTGAGACCAAATTCAAAATGCCTTCCAAAATTCTAAGCCTGGTGTTCCTATATATAGGCACCTCATTTATATTATTAAAGTATTGTCTATACTTACAACTCGATGGGTCCCTTGATGTGAAATCCATCTCTGATCTGGAACATGTCAAATGATCTTCCAAGATTCTAGTTGGAGAATAAAACATCACAAATAAAAATCAGAGGAAGGTCTAGTCAAATGCACTGTATTATGAGCATTTTCTATTTAATATCAACGAACCACAATGCAATATAGGGGATAGATGTCATGATCACATGATAATGAATATATATATATATATGAGATAGGACCTATATGCAAATGTGAGACTTGTGATCTTACAATTAAGGTCAGATCGCATTTGTACGATGTGATATACAGTGTGAGGGAATAAATGACGGACTATGGATATGAATTTAAGTCACAATAGTCTTGTTTTGCACTTAATATGTGGAATTTGCGACAAGGATAGTTGACTGACTATATAGGCACATTCAGATTTCCATGAGTGTATTTTTTCCATGCAGATTTGAATCTATCCTGATTAGAAACAAAAGGAACTTCCTAAAGAACTAATTGAATCAGGTTAATCAATGGTTTAAACTCTAGAAGCATTGTATGACTTTCTGCTTTCCAGTTGCTGCTTTCCAGATGACCGCCCTCCCTGTCATCAGAGGGTTAGAACCTCCTGTAGGTTCCAGAATGCTGTAAACCATATAGCAGCATGATTATTTTTACTTGCACGTCACTATTTTATTGTATAAAGCAATTGTACACCCTTTTGTTGTCTGCACCTTCACCTGCTGTCACAACACATCCCATCCCAGTATAGCTTGGAAAAGCTGCTTCAGGGATTACCACATCAAGTAATGACCATAACCTCATGCCCTATGGGCTAATAATAATGCAATAATATGCTTTTAATTAAGTTGTTATAATTTGTTAAGTCCATGGTGGAAATTTAAGCCATTGTTTAGAAAACCAGTGAGTTCAATACTCCTTCATTTGGGCCAATATTAAAAAAAATAAAAAAGTATAACAAATACACATACATATTGTAGCAAATGAAAGATTGAATTGTAAAAACTATGAATATCTAAATTTTCAATGAAATGTCCAAGTAGGTTCTTTAGGGATGTGTTCATATTAAACCTACCTGCCATGGTTGTGCACCTGACTCGTATCGTTTGTTGACGCTGAAGCGATGTGAGACAGGGTCAGGTTGTCTCTCCAGGGTTGTAGCTGGGGGTAAGACCTTGGGGGCTAACTTGGCATCCCAGTTCACACCTTCGTATGATCTACATCGAGAAAGTGAGAAAGATATATTTTAGGATGACAGACAGGGACAGTTCATGGGTTTATGTTTTTTTTGCAAAAATTAACGAGACTGCTTACAATAAATTTTAGTATTGGATTAGCTAGGCCGCCATTTTCGCACGCTGTAAATTTGCTACCCTACAACAATTTGCCATTTTCATGAAATAAAATGATACCTTAGACATTCGTGCATGTACATACAAAATATAAACAGTATATGCTAGTAGCTTACTGCAATTTCTACTGTGAAGTTAACTGGCCTATTCAGGATCATAATCCAGCGAATGCTCTAATCTGTTATTCATTTTCATTACCAGTGTCACAAAATAATTAGCAGAAATGATGTTTTTCACCAGAATGCTTGTACAAGAATTGAATACAAAACTAATATTGAAGGTATGAAACTATGATATGTGGCATATGATTATCAACTAAATTTCGAGGTTTGTCTGCAAGTTAAACCCAGGTACATACCTCTGTGTAGAAGGCAAGTAGACATATCTTAGGGCTGCTTCATCTTTCCAGTCTTCGGCTTTGTCGATTACCTAGACAGATACAAGAAAAAGACATTTTAAATCTCTGTTTCCAATTTTTTTAGAGCGTAGAATGTTCTCTCGGATTTCAATGGAACGTCTGTCTACTCATGAATACCGTACCATACATGTAGAATGATAACTGCCTATCAAGTGGAGTCCAAATTTACCCAAGATACTGAATTCCAATTTTACTTCTGAACAGTCTCATGTCATAACTATGTAGTTAATTTGTTTTATCTTCTATGACAATTATACATGTACTTAGAACTTTGAACAAATTGCTTTAAACAGAGCCATTGGCATATATAACAGCATTGTTCTTTATAAGAGGTCCAAATACATGTAAGCATTACACATAATGATTTAAATCTATTTGACACCTGAGCTAAATAAGACTCTTGCAGAGGAGCACCATTTTGTGCAAAATAGTATGGGTTAATTAAATGCTCTCTTGGGTCTCACAAGACAATAGGCCTACCGGTACACATCATGCTGAGATTTGAACCTCAATTTTTTGTTCAAGAGCCAAATGAATGAACTACTATATACCAACATTGAATACTTACATTTGCCTGGTTTTTAATGGATTTTGAATGAATCTGCTGCCATATAAGGTCCTGTTCTTTCTCTATTTTTCTTGGATCTGCATCACTTGTCCATCCTGGAGAAGAAAAAAAAAACATTAAGACATTATTTACTCTCACAAGTCACATGTAACTCTCACTTTGTCAGGGAGTTCAGCGTATTTCCAGATTTTACTCTAGCATGAACCATGACAAGTTTTAAAATACTTACACTTCATTACTCATACTATGTATAACAAAACAGTTTCTAAAAAGTAGAATATCGCATGCCCTTTGTAATGGTACTGAACTGAATGATGAAAATACTTTGTAGGGTATTTTCATCATTCAAAAGGTTAATTGCTCAAGAACATTTTTTCTTAAATTTGGCGAGTTGAGTTGGTTTCCAAATATATTTCAATAATACCCTCCAATAATTCCATGATAATTGCAAAGAAAAAACAAAGAATAATGAATTATAAGATAAAAATTATGATAGTAATAATAATTCTAATAATAAAAATGATACTACTACTTATAATAATAACAATAAAAATAATAATATTAATAACGACAACAACACTACTACTACTACTAATAATAATAACAATAATTGTTTGGAAAAATGGTCTTCGATTATGATCTGCTTATTACTTTGTTTTATCAATACGTCTCAGTATATCGCAATAAACATGCAATTGAGATTTTACTCATACTTTATATAACACAATAGTTTTTTTAAAGTAGAATATTGAAATGGTACTGGACACATGTTTGTAAGATATTTTCATTATTCAAATCTGGAATTTAGCTTTTATACTGAAGAAAAAATTATTACCTCCTAGTTTTGCTCTAATCATGGCGTCACTGATCTTCTTGCTATTCCATGTACCAGGATCATTTAAAAGTCTTGTCTTCTGCAGCTGAGGGTCGGCAGACTGTAAGGCAGCGGGGGCCGAAGCTCTCAAAGGATTCTGGGAGTTCAACTCCCTCACTTTGTCTCTGTAAGCAAGAGTTGTTGTCGGTCGTGGCGAGAGCGGGGTGACCGTGTTCGGGGTATTGTCCGATTGCTGCATGTTCGGGATATGCGAGACCCCTGTATTTCTGTCCACATCAGCCGCAACCGACACGAACCCACTCGTGGGATCAATGATTGGATAATTGTCTCGGTTTGGAGCAAGGGTGTCATCGTTATATTTCACAAATCCTGAATTTTTGTGATCTTGAAAGCTGGCCACATCAAATCGTCCTCTCGAGACTGGGAGTTTCATCAGCCGTTGCCGCCGATTTTTCACTATATCCTGCACATTGTTTGCTCCAGAATTAGTATCTACTTGAAGATGAAGTCGTAGGTCGCCGAGCGGCCTCGGTCTCACCATAGTTTCTGCCATTTTGTGAAGATCTGCAATTGAACAATAAGGATAAGGTCAACCATAGAATCAAACTAACAGTAATTCAGGCGTGTGGGACCGAAACGTAGACATAACATTGCAACTGAACCACACACACACCCGTTTTCAAACACTGGACAATACTTATTTCTCCGCAATGTATGCTTGATATAACCACTTAATATAACTAATAACACATCAAAATTACCTCTTATACCATTCGCTGAAATCAGATGTCTACAGCCTGTAGATCTACACGTCACTTGTTTTTAGACGATACTTTAATGCGCGTTTCCGTAATTCACTGCATGCGATTCTCTCTCATTCTCGCCCGCTGAGCTTGCCGTACAATCGCGGTGAAGTCGTGTCAACAATACAAGTTGCCATGAGACGGAATTGTACATTGTGTTTGTTGTTTCAGATCATTGATCTCTTCCACGCTACGATATGGAGCTCAGCCTAATTGGACGAGTCCATTATATATCAAGGGGGTTACATTTTTGGAAGTACGCTGGTCGGCGCTTTTTTTGGCTTCTATAAAGGAATGCATTATAATTATTTAAGATGATTATAACATATACATCAGGTAGACTTATTGATTATAACTCAATACAAATTTAAGTCTAAATTAAACTTTTAAAACAAATATTTACAATGTCACTTTGGAAATTATGTAGCGTCTTTTCCCTCTCTGAACTATAAGTGTACGAATCCAAACACCTGTTGTATCTTCGCAATATATAGTGTAGACAAAAGTTTCGACCAATCAGTGCACACCACAGTTTCTCCTTCGTACCTTTTCGAAATTATCCTGCCCATCCTATATTCGAACCTTATTACGATATCCGTGCTAGATGTCGGATGGCTTATATTTAAGAGTGCCTTTTTGGCATTATTTTTGAAGAAAAAAAAGACATATTAAAAGAAAATATATTGAGTCACATTTTATGTACTTAGACGAAGTTCGTGATTTTGGCGGAAGTTGTTTTTGTTGAATGTAGTGTTATTATGTGGTCATCGTGAAATGTTGCTTCGATTGGCAATAAATAAATGTACCAAATTGAAATGAATGAATGAGTAAATAAATATAAATAAACTGACAAACAAGAAATCATATCAATAAATAAAGAAACTAGTGAATAAATGAATGAATGATTAAGTAGGTAAATAGATAAACTGCAGAATAGTGTATAGCAGCTGCGCTATAAAGTTGATCTATGGATTATTCTTATCATTATTGGTAAAAAAATCAAGATAATGAATAAAGAAAGAAAGAAATGTAATAAATATTGAAGCGAATGAATAAGTATTAGTATAAGTAAAATAAAATTACGAATGATTAAATAGATGGATAAAAACAACATACTAGACAAACAAGGAAAGGTTATGCTTGAATAAAGACTTTAAGATAAATTGATCCATAGGTAAATGAACAAAACAACTACAAACAAACATTGATGAATAAATAGATATACACATATTACATACATTAATGAATAAATACAAACAGTATATTGAAATTACGAACTTAGATACGGCTCTTTCAACTCTACATTTTCCATTTGGCAATCTATAATTAGTTCCGATCTTTAGCAATGTTCAATTGCATTGGCAGCTGAAATCAGTCTCATTGTACACATGGATTCCAGTCAGAAAATTATACACCCGTAGAGCTGCACCCCCTCCCTCCCCTCTCCTCTCCTCTATATATTATTGGTATAATATTAAAGGTAAAGACCAGTTTGAGAAACGCCCCCCTCTCAAAAAATGAAATGGAAACTCTTATTACCAACGATGTGAAAGAATATGACTAATACATGATGATAACATTTTTGCCGGGAAACCGCCTATACCTATGACCATAACTGATCTTTATCTTTAATATTATTGTTCATGCACGCATTGCGTGACTGGTATTCTGTGCTATCCTTATCAGAACGTATCTATCTCACATTGTTGACACTGCCTGCTACAGATGTACGTCTTCAGTATGTAGATGCACGATCATTTTCTTCATGAAAACAATTTAATGCGTTCCTAACAATTCATGTGCTTTAACTCGTCTTCTTAAAATGTAATGACTTTTATGTACAAGTATAATGGTGGTGGTGATGGTGGAGATGGTGGACTGGTATTGTTGTTGTTGTTGTTGGTGGTGGTGGTGGTATAGGTAGGAGTGTCGGTGAGAGTGGACGAGGTGGTTGTAGAATTGATGGTGGGTTGAGAATGGTGGTAATATTGGGATAGGGGTGCATAGTGGTGGCAGGAATGGTGGCGCCCACAACCGTAAACTGGTGTATTCCTTTCTCTCTTTCTCTCGCGCTCGTTCTGTCTCTTTTTGTTTTGCCTTCTGATGGTTGTGGAAGTAGTGTAGGACTGGTGATGGGAGTGGTGGTGGTCGTGGTGGTCCGGGTGTCCTTTTAATCTTTATCTCTCTCTCTCTCTCTCTCTCTCTTTTCCCCTTTTTCTATTTTTCCATTATCTTGACGGTGGTGGAGGTATTGGGAGTGGTGGTGGTGGTGGTGGTGGTGGTGGTGGTGGTGGTGGTGGTGGTGGTGGTGGTGGTGGTGGTGATGGTGGTGGTGGTGGTGGTGATGGTTGTGGAACTAGGAGTAGTTGAAGGAGAGATGGTGGGAGTTGTAGGAATGCGATGGGGTGCTGGTGCTGGACGTCTGTCTGTTTTTCTGTTGGTCTCTCCCCTATCTCTCTCTTTCTCTCCCCCCCCCTCTCTCTCTCTCTCTCTCTCTCTCTCTCTCTCTCTCTCTCATTTTCCCACAGTTTCTCCCTTTTGATCCAGGTGTAGAACATCTATATAAATGACAGTGCTGGGGTAACCAATAATTTAGCAGCGCCTACATAAAGCAAGAAGATTATACCCTGGATAAAAATAAAAACATGTTACTATTATCTTATATATTTATGTTCAAATACAGCGCTATAATAGAGAGATAAAATAAATATGATGACGATGCTGAAACAAGCTAACCTGTCTGTGCTCATAGAACTCTAGACACATGTCACATTTCTCTGAGCACTTGAATGTGAAAACAGATAAGAATATGCAAACAGATAATACAGAAGAGTGGGAATTCATATAATGTACTGCATTTGACACAAAGTACAATGTACACCTGCAAACTGGTAACGGCTAGGAGTCTGTGGTTTATTATGTGTCTAATATATCAGGGGGGAAATAACAAACGAAGCAAAATAAAAAAAAAAACCAACATGAAAACAATACAAGACTATATCCCCCAAAAAGCAAAGCACAGAACACTAACAACAACAACAAAAAAAAGGGCAAATTCTTTGACCAAGCAAAAGACTGACAGAATTAGACTAGGCTCAAGGATTTGTTGAATTGTCAAAACAGAAGCTGTGTCTAAAGACTACTTTATTACATTGACTATCCATGTCATCGTAGCATTAAAATGTATGATGGGTGGTTAACAAAATAAAGCCGTCTCTTGCTGTTTGGTTTAAACAAAAACACGTATAACAATACATGAATACTTTTCATTTATAATATTGTCATTATAAGTCTATGTATGCAGACTAGTATTTATGATCCTAGACTATGGTAGATAAAAGCACAACTAATTCGAACCTAGATTAAATTTGTGTAGTGGGCGTGGGTTGGGGAGTAGGGGTGGGCGGGGTTGAGAGGGGGGGGGGGGTAACGTCTTTTCAATCAGTTAATTATTTACGTTGACAAATACACCTCTCCATGCCATAGACACTTTGTTATTCTTTAAATACATGTATTTCGTAAAATATTCTCGTATTTTAACCAGTCTCAAGTAATGGTAGAGAGGACACCCCTAAAAGATACTTGAATAAACAGAATATTGGTTAAATAATGTGCTTCTTTACGTCAACATGATCACGCAATGAATGAGTTAAAAACTTAACTCTTACAATGCCGAAGGGATTCGCTTGGTTCAAGATTTAATCAAAGCATGAGCATCTTTACTTTCCAAATGCCTACATTTCGTCAGCCACGCCTTTTATTACAAAATAGTATGTTAAAAAAATATATATATTGTAAAATAAAAATGAGGTTCCTCTTAGTCCCCTACGTTTCTGTTCTCATTATTTATTTACTATTGTTTGATGTAAAAGTGAAGAAAATGCTTTGTTAAATATATAAGTTTCTAGATCATTTCTAATGGGAGCATACAATTATCTTTAGTTACGTGTATTCCTAATAGCAATAATATCATCATTAACATCATCACCATCATCAACAACGTTTTAATCAGCATCATCATCATCATCATCATCATGATTATCATAATTTCCATGACCCAGGGAAGCCTCATCAACTCCAATACTATTTCCCCTGAGGGCTCTGCAATTACAATTCCGAAAGCAACTGCCAGGTGTCCAAATACACCTCGGTGGACACTGGCAAATAGGGACCTTCGTCATGTTAGTGCCGGGCAGGGATTCAAACCCTCAACCCTTGTATTGAGAGTCAAGCCGAGTGACTGAACCACTATACCACGACACGTTCTATTAGGGCGGCAATAGGGACTTTTAGATTTACACGACGAGAACATGGACCGCCACGTTTGACATCCTTTTAAGGTAATGTGACGTCCTTTAAGGCACTGCCGGGCACGGCCCAGTGCCTTAACCCAATGTCACACGCGGCAGTCCACGCTCTCGTCGTGTAAATCTAAAAGTTCCTAATGTGTGATTGAGAACACTCAGTCAGTCTGAATGTCAGACCGGCAGAGCAAGAGTTAAGGAAACTATGTGCAGCTGTGCATTTTCCATTCTTTCTTGAAAGATCCGTCCAGGGATGTGCATGCTCAGACAGCGTGAACATTATCTGACTGACTACATGTAAAATGTAGCAAAGATCTATACCATCACTCCATCTTTGTACCAAACAGAAAACATAACCCCAACCTGAACCATAATCGTAACCATAACCATAACCCTATTCCTAGCCATAACCACAACCATACCCTAAGTCTAAGCTACAATCCAACTAAAACTCTAACCATAGTCCTTTATAGATTTGATGCAATAAATCTTTGAGCAAATGTTGAATCACAATGACTTTTTTTTCTGAGGACATACTCATGTGCAAAGTTTCGAACCCAACATTTTTGATTGAGTATCATTTGAATAAACCAAATACATCATGATGCTCTTTATCTCTTCTTCCCCCCTCTCCCCCTATCTCTCTCTCTCTCTCTCTCTCTCTCTCTCTCTCTCTCTCTCTCTCTCAA